GACCCTGACTCATTCCCTTCCTGATTTTAACCACACAGTATCCCCTTGTTCTGTTCGAACGACTGCCTCCTGGTCTATGTGCAGGCCCCTGATGAGCAGAATGAACTGTTCTAGAATTCCCATTCTTCTCAATGTCATCTATAATTTGTTATGATCCACACAACTGAATGCTGTTGCATAGTCAATAAAACACAAGCAAACATCTTTCTGATATTCTTTGCTTTCAGCCAAGATGCATCAGACATCAGCAATGATAGCCCTCCCATTTACAGTAACTACCAGAAAGATAAGATACTTGGGAATAAATCTTACCAGGAACACAAAATACTGATACAAAGAAAACTATAAAATGCTACTGCAAGAAACCATAAGAGATCTACATAAATTGAAGAACATACTATGTTCATAGATAGGAAGACTGAACATTGTGGAACTGTCAACACAACCCAAAGCAATCTATACATTCAGTGCAATCCCAATCCAGATCCCATCTCCATTCTTTACAGACATGGAAAAACCAATCACTCAGCATTAGTCAAGAAATCAGATGACATACTGCACTGTGCAAATATGCTGCAAAAGACCTCTTTAAAGTGCTGAAGACCAAAGATGTCTCTTTGAAGATTAAAGTGCGCCTAACCCAAGTATTTCCAATCACCTCATATGCTTGTGAGAGCTGGACAATGAATAAGGAAGACCAAAGAAGACTTGATGCTTTTGAGATGTGGTGTTGGTGAAGAATGCTGAAAATAATGGACTGCCAGAAGAATGAACAAATCTGTCCTGGAAGAAGTGCAGCTGGCATGCTCCTTGGAAGCAAGAATGTGCCAAATGTTGTCTCACCTATTTTGGTCATGTTGTCAGAAGGGATCATTCCTTGGAGTAGGATATCATGCTTGGTAAAGTGGAGGGTCAGCAAAAAAGGGGAAGGCCCTCAACGAGATGGATTGACATAGTGGCTGCAACAATGGACTCAGGTATAGCATGGATCATGAGGCTGGCACAGGACTGGGCAGTGTTTCTCTTGGTTGTACATAGGTTCACTATGAATTAGCCCTGACTTGACAGCACCTAACAACAACAACAACTTTATATGGAAAGGAAAGAGACCTCGGATAAGCAAAGCACAACTGAAGAAGAACAAAGCAGAAAGTCTCACACTCTCAAATCTCAAAACCTACTATACAGCTACAGTAGTCAAAATACCCTGGTATTGGTACAATAACAGACACATAGACCAGTGTAACAGAATTGAGAACCCAGAAATAGATCTATCCACCTGTGGTCAACTGATCTTTGATAAAGGGGAAGAGATAGTCTCTTCAACAAATGATACTGGCAAAATTGGATATCCATTTGTAGAAAAATTAAACAAGATCCATACCTTATACCATACACAAAAACTCACTCAAGATGGATCAAAGACTTAAATGTGAAACCTACAAGTATAAAGTTCATCAAAGAAAAAATAGGGGCAAACTTAGGCATCCTAATTTATGGCCTAAATAGACTATCAAGCATAATCCAAGATGCACAAAAAGCAGAAGATAAATTAGATGATTGGGACCTTCTAAAAATTAAATTCTTATAGGCATCAAAGGACTTCTCCAAAAGAGTAAAAAGAGAACCTACAGAATGGGAAAAAATATTTGGCAATATTGGATGAAGGACTTATTTCTAGAATTTATAGAAAACCCCAACACCTCAACATCAAAAAGACAATCAATCCGATTTAAAAAAGTCAGAAGACATGAACAGACACTTCACTGAAGAAGATAGCCAACAGCCAACAAATACATGAGGAAAGGTTGGTGATCTTAGCCATTAGAGAGATGCCAATCAAAACAATGAGATACCATCTCACCCTAGCACTAACAGCCAAATCCAACAAGATAGAACATAGCAAATGCTGGCAAGGATGTGGAGAGCCCGGGTCTCTCATACACTGCTGGTGGGACTGTCAGTTGATACAACCACTGTGGAAATCAGTATGGTGATTCATTACAAGGTGGGAAATAGAAATACCATTTGATCCAGCAATCCCATTACTAGGAATATATCCTAAAGAAGTGAGAGGCAGGGCACAAACAGATATATGCACACCCATGTTCACTGCAGCACTATTCACAATAGCGAAGAGATGGAAATAGCCTAACTGCCCATTTAACCGAGGAATAGATAACCGAACTGTGGTACATACACACAACGGAATACTATGCCACACTGAAGAATAATGTAGAATCTGCAAAACACCACATATCATGGATGAACTTGGAGGACATTATGCTGAGTGAAATATATCAATCAGCAAAACCAAACAAAACTCACTGCTGTGGAGTTGGACCCAACTCATAGCAACCCCTCCTTGGGTTTCTGAGGCGGTATCACTACGGAAGTAGATTGCCCAATCTTCCTTCTGAGGAGTGGCTGGTAGGTGTGAACTGCCTGCCTTCTGGTTAGCAGTCAAGTGCCTTAGGCACTAGGCTACCAGAGGTCCAAGTCAATCACAGAAGGACAAATATGGTATTAGTCCACTGTTGTATAAAGTCAAGGAAAGGTTTACATATGGAAGGAAACTTCCTTTGTTGGTTGCCAGGGAGGGGAGGGAAAGTGGAGGGAAAAAACGGATACAGACAGAAACGAAAGATTATTCGTGGTTAGCAAAGGTAGGAGGAAGGGGGAAAGGGGGAGCTTTTGTTTCCAGGGCATTAAACCCAAAACCCAACTCCCTGCCATCAAGCTGACTCTGACTCCAACTCCTAGTGACCCCCCACTGGGCTTCCAAGGCGGTGAGTCTTTATGGAAGTAGTTTGCCTCCTCTTCCTTCCATGGAGCAGCTGGTGGGTTTGAACCTCCAATTTTCGGTTAGCAGTCAGATGTCTCATCCATTACATCACCAGAGCTGTGGACTGTTTTGGGAAAGGATGGCGACCACGGTGGCACAACATGAACAGTGTCATCAGTGCCCTGAGCAGTAAATGGGGAAGTTGTTACGTTGGTGACTGTCTTGTGTGTTTTCACCACAATAAAAGTAATAACAATAGAAGACTATCACTTGCGTGTACTGCCACGTGATGTAAAAAAAGGAAAGCCTGCTTTCATCTCAGGCCCCCTCTACCTCTCTTTCCCTCTTGCCTGGAGAGAAACGTCTGCTGATGTTTTGGTGACTCTACAAATCTCTTCTACACAGGGGGCTCTTTTCCTTCTGAAATGGCCCTAACCTGCTGCGGTGACTTGAGGGCACATCACAGCCCCAGGCAATCGCACGTGCTGTTCCCTGCGCCTGGTCGCTCTCCCCTCCACTCCCCCAGCTGCCGTCCAGCCTCCTGCCCCCTGCGCCTGCTGCTGGTGAATCAATGCCATGGGGTCTGGCTGCAGGCAGCTGCTTCGGGAGCTCTGAGAGTTTGAGTTGGACGCTCAGAGGCTCCCCAACACTGACCCGACTGCATTTGGGGTCTGCCAGGCCGAAGGCCAGCAGTGGGGAAGTGATGATGTGTCCCCTGGTGGGTGCCACCTCAGGGACATGCTGAGTGGCTGGGCAGCTGGGACCTGCGTTTGTCACGTGGCTCCTCTGAACAGAAGAGCAGTGGTCACTCAAAAAAAAAAAAAAAAAAAATCCCCCTGTTGCTGTGGAGTTGTGACCCCGTGTGTTACGGAGAGGACTGCTCCACAGGGTTGCTGAGCTGTAATATTCATGGCAGTGGACTGCCAGGCCTTTCTCCCTGGGCACTACTGGGTCCTAACACCCACCCAGGGACCTAAGAGTAGCTCAGAGGACTGAAAATGAAAGGCTTTTCCTCCCACTGACAATGAATTCGATTTCCTTCTATCCAGAAGCTCTGGTGGTACAGTGGTTAAAGCGCTGGGCTGCTAACCAAAAGGTTGGTGGTTCTAATTCACCAGCTGCTCCACGGGAGGAAGATGAAGCACTGTGCTTCAGTAAAGACTGACAGTCTTGGGGACCCTATGGGGCAATTCTACTCTGTTCGCTAGGGGCGCTGTGAGTTGGAACGGAGTTGATGGCAGGGGCTTTCTTCTCTCTTCTGCCCATGCAGTCAGCCTGCCCCAGCTCACCCCAGCTCACTCACACAGTTCTCTGGATCAGGCTCTGCTCCGGCAGGTCCGAGGTGTGCCCTCCCCTGGGGCAGCTGTGCTGACCACGAGACCAGGCCGGGGCCCACAGGCCTGGCTGGCTCTGGAGGGTGGCATTGACCTGGGCCTGACCGAGCTGCCATGGGACAGGCACACAGGGCTGGAAAATGTCCCCAAATTACAAACAAAAAGGTGCGTGTGCACGTGCACTCTAGGTAGAAAGATCAGCAAGATGTGACGAGCAAATGCAGTGCCTGACCCTCACCCGGAGCCTGGTGTAAAACGAAGACGAAGTCTGGAAAGGCCTGTGAATGTGGGCCAGGTGTTCAGTGGTGCTGGGCCATGTCGCTCATTTGCCGACACGCATACCGTGGTGCCATGGTTATATAGGACAACAGTATTTTTAAGGAGATGCACACCAAAATATTTAGGAGTGAAATGTCTGCTGCCCAAGGGGTTGGGCAAAGACAGCTGGGCAGCTAGATGAAGCCCAGGTGGCAAAAGGTCGTGCCTGCGACCTGGCTGCAAACTGCATTTAGGTCACGGGTGTCCGAGCTGGCGCTGCGTGACCTGCCCTATTTCCAGATGCCTGGAGACTGTCTAATAAAACCAGAGGGTTGGGGAATTGTTGGAAAGCACTGCCGGGGGGTGGGGCGCCCACTCAGGAGGACGCAGCCTGCAAGCGGTGTCCCCTCCTGCCCCCGCCCGGTACCGACCTCAGAGCAGCGGCCCGGCCCATGGCTGCACGGCACAGTGAGACGCGCTGCATGGCGTCCTGCAGCTCCTGGTTCCGGGCGCGTTTGCTCTGGATGATCTGGTCCCGTTTCTCCTCCTGTGCGCGTTGCTGGGTCTCCTTGAGCAGGGCCAGCCGCTCACGCAGCTCCACAATGGACATCTCGCCCTCTAGCCCATACCCGGGGATCTAGGGGGTGACAGGAGGCCCTGGGCTGGCAGCCTGCTGGGCCTGACCAGAAGTGCTGGCTGGCCCAGACCGGGGCGGGCGCAAATGGCTCTCCTATCTGCTCCACAGCACACAGCCCACCTGCCCACCTGCCTGGCCAGTCGCTGGGCCCCTGCCTTTCTGCTGCCCAGCACTGAGGCCAGTGTTCAGATCTCACCTCAGCAAGTGTGACCCTGGGGCTAGCCTGGTGGGGAGACTCTGGGCTCTTGGCTGCAGCCCCTGCCTCCTGCCCCATAGACCGCCCTCCCTGGCTTCAATATCACCTGTATAACCACCTGCCCTCCCCCAGCCCCCATTCAGCCTCTTTAGCCCCCTCCCCTGCAAACCTCACTTTGGGCTGACTACACTTCTAGCTGGGGGTCCCAAGGCTACTTGATGTTGGCAGATCCCCACCTCCCTAAAGTCCCCATCCCCTGGGACCAGGTGAGACCCTCAGCCAGCTCACGTGGCTTTCCCAGGGCCCCCTACCAGCTCAAAAGCTGGCCTGGCCTCCTCCGTTTAGCCTGTCTCACCCACCCCCATCTCCAGGGCCCTGGTCCCCCCATCCCCAGGGGTTGCAGAGGTCTGGGGCAGCGTCTGTCCCTTGACAGAACTGTGAACTTTAGAGACCAGGCTCAGTCAGCAGCACAGTGAGTGCCGAGCCCAGGACTAGTGATGGTGGATTTCGGGAAGGGTGAGCCTCCCGTCCCAGGCCTCTGTAGGAATTCTGGACATGCCTTCTGGGCCACTGCCTGGCCTGGAGGCACTCTAGGTCATTGGATGGGGCGTGTTGGAGGGGCGGCGCCCCACCTGGGTCAGGTCCACAAGCTTGCCCTTGCGAGTGGGCTGCGTCTCCATGGCGCGCAGCTGGGAGATGAGCACACATTGCTGCCGCTGCTGCTCCTTGGCCTCCTGTGCGCTACGCTGCAGTAGCTCCCGGCTCTCCTTCATCAGCTCCTGAGCTTGGGGGCCAAGCGGGGTGCTGATGGGCCAGGGGGCAGCCTCCCCGTGGAGCAGTGGGCAGGCCACCAGCCCGGGGACCTGCGCAGGGAGCCGGGCACAGCCAGGCGCAGCCTGTGTGTAATGGCTCGCCCACCATACCTGCCTGCCGGCGGCCCTTCAGAAGCTTTGTCTGCGCCACCTTGACGTTCTTCTGCGCCTCTATCACCTGGTCCACGAGCTCCTTCATGGACCTCTCCTCCTGGAGTCGCCTCTCGGCACACTGCTGCATCAGCTCCGCCGTCTGCAGGACAGTGGGCCCCTCGGTGAGGGCTGGTCCTGCAGGCCGGCCCCACTCACCCACCTCACTCTGGGCCAGCAGACAGGCACGAGGTCTGGGGGCGTGGTCCAGCCCTTGATCTTGGCTCCCTCAGGAACTTGGGTCTAAGTCAGTCAATCAGTTCCAGGTGGTCACCTTGAGGTTGGGCTGCAGGGAGTTCCAGCTCCCACCCTCCTCCCAATGTGGTCATGGAGGATGATGGAAGGCCCACACAGCCATCTCCCCAGATCCGAGGATGAAGCCAGGGATGGAGTCAAGAGAGTCCTGGGGAAACTGAGTCAGGGGTGCTGGCTTACCTAGAAGCCCACCCACTTGTGACCCCTACATATGAGACCCCATGGTGCATCTACTCAGTGCTTGCCTGTCAGGTGGGGCTCAAGTTCCATCACTGCCCAGGCCACCACGCTTTAACCACTGCACCACCAGAGCTCCCAGACAAAGACAGAGCCAAAAGACAAAGACAAAGATAGTACCAAAAACAAGGAAACAAAAAACCAACGACGAAACCTCCAGTTCTATGAATGCAGACACAGAAGTCCTTAACAAAACAAAAAATATTAGTAAATAGAATCCAACAATACATAAAAAGAATCCTATACCATAACCGGATACAAGCTTGGATATAAGGCTAGTTCAATGTTTGAAAATCAATCACTGAAATCTACCATATCAAGAAGCCAAAGAGGAAATATTATGTATCATATAAATTGACAAAGAAAAAGCATTTGATAAGACTCAGCATTCAATCACGATTAAAAAAAAAAAAACCCTCTTAAAAATAGGAATAGAAGGGCACTTCATCACCTGGATAAGTAACATGTCACAAAAAAAACCCACATCTAACATTACACTTCTTTCTATCAAATGGAAAGGAAGTCAACTTGCACAGAGTCACTGCACCAAAAAGAATTGGTCAGCCATTTCAGGAGGTGGCATATGATCAAGAGCCAAAGGTACTGAAGGAAGAAGTCGAAGCTGCACTGAAGGCATTGGCGAAAAACAAGGCTCCAGGAATTGATGGGATACCCACTGAGATGTTTCAACAAACGGATGCCGCACTGGAGGCACTCACTCCAGGAAATCTGGAAAACAGCTACCTGGCCAACCAACTGGAAGAGATCCATATTTGGACCCATTCCAAAGAAAGGTGATCCCACAGAATGTGGAAATTATCAAACAGTATCATTAATACCACAAGTAAAATCTTACTGAAGAGAATTCAAAATGGTTGCAGCAGTTTGTAGACAGGGAGCTTCCAGATAGTCAAGCCTGATTCAGAAGAAGGCACGGAATGAGGGAGATCATTGCTGATACCACATGCATCTTGCCTTAAAGCAGAGAACACCAGAAAGATGTTTATCTACGTGTTATTTACTATGCAAAGGCATTGACTGTGTGGGTAACAATTTATGGATAACACTGAGAAGAATGGGAATTCCAGAACACTTAATTTTGCTTATGAAGAACCTCTACATAGACCAAACAAGGAGGTACTGAATGATTCAAAATCAGGAAAGGTATGTGTCAGGGTTATGTGTGGTGTATCCTTTCACCATATTTATTCCATCTGTATCCTGAGCAAATAAATCTGAGAAGCTGGACTATATGAAGAAGAATGCAACATCAGCATTGGAGGAAGACTCATCAACAACCTGCGGTACACAAACGACACAGCCCTCCTTGCTGACAGTGAAGAGGACTTGAAACATTTACTGATGAAAACCGAAGACTACCGTCTGCAATACGGATTACACCTCTGCATCAGGAAAGCACAAACCCTCACAAATGGACCAATAAGCAGCATCATGAAAAATGGAGAAGAGATTGAAGTTATCAAGGATTTCATTTTACTTGGATCCACAATCAATGTTCATAGAAGCCACAGTTGAGAAATTAGATCGGGCAAATCTGCTGCAAAAGACCTCTCTAAAGTGTTAAAAAGCAAAGATATCACTTTGAAGACTATGGTGTGCCCGACCTAAGCCATGGCATACTCAGCAGGTTCATATGCATTGTGAAAGGTGGATAATGACTAAGGAAGACTGAAGAAGAATTGATGCATTTGAATTACGATGTTGGTAAAGAATATTGAATACACCACGTTGTTGTTGTTGTTAGGTGCCGTCGAGTCATCTCTGACTCGTAGCGACCCCACGCACAGCAGAACAAAACACTGCCCAGTCCTGTGCCAGCCCCACGATCCCTGCTATACTTGAACCCTTTGCCACACTCACCGTGTCAATCCATCTCGTTGAGGGCCTTCCCCTCTTTCGTCAACCCTCCACCTTACTAAGCATGACATCCTTCTCCAGGGAATGGTCCCTTCTGACATGACCAAAGTACATGATATGAAGTCTGGCCACTTTCACTTCCAAGGAACCTTCTGGCCGCACTTCCTCCAGGACGGATCTGTTAGTTCTTTTAGCAGTCCACGGTACTTTATCAGCACTCTTCGCCAGCACCACAACTCAAAAGCATCAACTCTTTTTCAGTCTTCCTTCTTCACTGTCCAGCTCTGACATGCACATGAGGCGACTGAAAATACCATGGCTTGTGTCAGGGCACCTTAGTCTTCAAGGAGACATCTTTGCTCCTCAGCACTTGAAAGAGGTCCTCTGCAGCTGATTTGCCCAGTGCTATAGGTCGTCTGATGAGTCGGGTCTGACTCGACGGCACATAACAACAACAACAACAACAACAACAACAAATGTCGTCTGATGTCCTGACTGCTGTTTCCATCGGTGTTGATTGTAGAACCAAGCAATGCAAAGTCTTTGACAACTTCAATCTTTTCTCCATTTATCGTGATGCTGCTTATTGGTCCAGTTGTGAGGATTTTGAGGATTTTTGTTTTCTTCGTATCTGACTCAACAGCAGTGCATTTGTTTTTTTTTTTTTTTTTTTTGGAATCCATATTTCAGACTGTATTCTTTAACCTTCATCAGTAAGTGTCTCAAGTCATCCTCACTTTCAGCAAGCAAAGTTGTGTCATCAGCGTATCACAGGTTGTTAATGATTCTTCCTCCAATCCTGATGTCACAGAACATACCATGGGCTGCCGGAAGAATGAACAAATCTGTCTCGGAAGTGCAGCCAGATTGCTCCTTAGAAGCCAGGATGGTGAGACTTTGTCTCACATACTTTGGGCATGTTATCAGGAGGGACCAGTCCCTGGAGAAGGACATCATGTTTGGAAAAGTAGTGGGGTCAATAAAAAGACCCACAACAAGATAGGCTGACAGAGCCACCTGGCCAAAGCTCCCTCCTTGGCCGGGTCACTATGCGGCTCACTGGAAGGAATGAGTTTCGGGGCACACAGACTGGCAGTCCCCACCTTGGCAGCCGGTCTTCAAAGGAGGAGCAGCCAGGACTGGCGGATCAGGCACTTCTGAAACACTGAAGTGTGGGTGTCCACAAGCCTTCCTGCAGGAGAGGCTGTACTGAAACATGTCAGCCTTCTGGAAGTTTCTGCCAGGAGCACAGGTCTTCCCTGAGGGACACCCAGGGTGTGTATGGACCCACTGACCCTGCTAGTGGGGGACCAGCAAGGACTGGTCAGACGACGTACTCCACTCAGCTTACGCAGGGGCACAGGGCAACACCACCACCACTCCCTGGGTCTTGATGGGAAATGCCCTGGGGTCAAGCCGCAAGGTAGCCACAGCAGCCATGGCCTATGCACTCGGCTTCTTTGTGTCGTCAGGCAGCTCCGCGAGCCCGGGCCCCATGCTCTCGCTGCCCCAGAGCTCAGCCCTCTCACCTCCTCCTTCTTCTGCTCGGCCTTCTGCTTGTTCTCTTGCACGAGGTTCTGCCGGGCCAGGACGGCCTCCTCGTGGCTGAGCTTCCCCCGCAGCCTACGGCATTCCTCAGCGGCCACCTGCTCCTCCCGGTCCCTGGCCCGCATCTTCTTCTGCCATTCAAGGAACTCGGAGAAATCCCCAGCCCCATCCACGAGCTTGTCAACCCTGGACAGAAGGACCCACGCCATGGCTTGAGAGTCTCCCGTGGTCAGGCCTGCTCTGCCCAGGGAGGCTGCCAGGCCCTCGTAAGTGTGGGCTGCCAGCCTCCTCGCCTGCCCCCATCCCCCATCCAGCTGTCAGTCACATCTGTCCACTGTTCATTCATCTCCTCACCCCTCTGTCCACCGGTCTGTCCATCCACCGTCCCTCTGTCCACCCATGTACCCACCCACCATCTCTCTGTCCACCCATCTGTCCACTCAGTAGACCTGTGTCCATCCCTCTGCCCACCCACCATCTCTCCACTGACCTGTCGGTCCACCTGCTATTTCTCCCCAGCCCACTGTCCATCACTATCCATCTGGCTGGCCACCTTGGCTCCTGCCCACAGCCCGATGCACAGACATGGAAAATGGCCCGGGTGAGCACAGAGCTTCACCCTCCTAGATGAAGGGGCAGCAGGAAGGGGTTTGAAGAGGAGGGGGCCTCTGCGCAAGGTTTGGGGTGGGCCAGGTATTTGCTAAGTCTCCTATCTTGGGTCCATCACCCTCACTGAGCCGGGACAATCTCAGTAAAACACAGACGTTACTCTATCACTATCTGGCCAGGCGCCCCCACCCCTGCTGGATCACAGCCTCAGCACCTGCCTTGCGCTCTGTCCCCATGGTGCCTGTCAATTCCCTTCGCTCCTCGAAAGGCCAGCCCCTCCCTGCTCCCAGCAGCCTCTGCATCGGCCCCCTGCGTTGAGCTGTGGGCCCACGAGGCTGCTGCCCCCACCTCTGCAGCTCCTTCTCCACCCGTCTCTGGTAGAGGGCTCCTTCCCGCAGGATGGCAGCGGCGTTCAGCTTCACTGGCACATTGTTGGGCTGTGGGAGAGCGGAGAGGCTGGCTGCACGGTTCCTGCCCTGTTGTCCTCTACACGTGGCCCCTGCAAGGGACAGGCCTGTCCCGGGGGCCTTGGGTGCACCAGCAATGACCAGCCTGGTCCCCAGAGCAGAGCAGACATGGCGGGTGGGTGCCAGGGAGAAGGCCGTGGAGCCAGTGCCTGTGCCCACCCCGATGCTCTGGGCGTCCCTCACCTCATAGAAGGTCAGTTTCGGCATCCTACGGATCCGCGGTGGCACTTGGAACCGCAACTGCTTCTTGGAACCCTGCAGGACCAGAGCAGAGTTACCAGCCTAGCCCCATGCCTGCCAAGCACCCCAAACCCCGCCAGAAAACGACCCTGGGTGAGTGGTGGGCCCAGCTCCCCTGGGGGCTTGGCTTACCCGCTCCGTCCTGACGCTAGCTGCCTTCCCCTGTCCCTATCTCACCCGCCTGCGCGCACACGATCTCCAAGGCCTCTCTGCCTTGCTTAGGGGCTGGCCTGCCCACTCTAGGGAGCGGGCAAGGCACAGGGCCTGCTGCACACAAGGGCACACACTGGGGGCCACCATGACCACGCTGGACGACAGCTGGTGGGGCGTCATCCCCACAGGGACTCGGCCATCACACACTTCCCCTGGGCCTGCCCCAGCTGCTCGGGAGGGCGGCTCGCTCTGCCTGTTCAGGGACCTCAGGTGGGCTCTTGGGAGCGGAGGGCAGGCAGCTGGTCCTTGTGAGCATCAGGGGAGAGCCAGTCTTCCCTCGGCCCTGCTCCTTGGCTTCGGTCTTTCACAGACATACTCGGACCGTGAGTTCTCTCTCGTTGAATGTTCAACGTGGAAAATTCGGGAATGCTCAGCAGTTTCCCTGTGGGTTTCCTCCCTGCTGTTTCTGATGGGCCTCTCACCTGCCCGCATCAACACCTGTCCTGTCTACACTTGCCCGCATCAACACCTGTCCCCATCTCCACCTGCCCCCGTCTCCACCTGCCCATGCCAACACCTGTCCTGTCTCCACATGCCCCCGTCTCCACTTGCTTGTGCCAACACCTATCCTGTCTGCGCCTGCCTCATTTATGGCTGCCCACACCAACACCCGTCCTGTCTACACCTGTCCTGTCTCCATCGGCTCCCATCTACACCTGTTCTGTCTATACCTGTCTCATTTACACCTGCCCTCATTACCTGTCCTATCTGCACCTGTCTCACCTATACTTGTCATGTCTACACCTGCCCCCTCTGCACCTACCTCCACCTCCACCTGCCCATGTTTACATCTGCCTGTGTCAACACCCATCCTGTCTTTACACCTGCCCTATCAACACCTCCCTGAGTCTATACCCGCCCGCGTCTACACCCGCCTGTGTCTACCCTGCCCAGGAGGAACACATGTGGCCATGGAGTCACGTTCCCACCATCACTGGATACTCGTCCCTTGGTGGCTCACCGTGAAGAAACGCTAAATTCTTACACCGGCTTGTTGTGTGGTCACAGACGTGGTGTCTGGGAGAATTCTGGGTGACACAGGACGTGCTCCTGCATCGAGGCTGCACCTTACCTGCCTCAGGGACGCCCCGCGGGGCCGGGGCATCGCGCAGTGCAGCTCCTCCAGGCTGGCCTTCAGCAGTAGCTCCTGCGGTGACACACGGCTGCGGCCACCCGGTGCCCTCCAAGGAGGAAGGCACCAACCAGCGCGTCCTCCTCTCCGCCCTCCTCCCCTTCCCTCTGCCTTTCTCCCCCCTCTCCCCACCCACCCCCTTCCTTCTCCCCTTCCTTGGGTCTTCCCCTCCCCTTCCTTCTCCCACCTCATCTTCCCACCTGGACCCCTGCCTCCCCTGCCTCGCCCTCGTCCATCTGTCCTGCCTCTTCCTTCTGATCCTCTCTGCCTCATGCCCCTTCTCCATCGCCCCATAAAGCCTCAGCAGAAAGCCTCCCCCTTTGATGCCGTGGGGTCAGCGTGTTGGGAGATGACAATATGCTGAGGGCGTCCCTGGGGGCGGTGCTGGACATTCCCGCTTCACAGGGTGACCTGTCCCACGGCCTCATTCCACCCTAGGGACAACCAGCCAGGGCGGGTGCTCCTGCCCTCACACCCCCCGACTGGCCTCCAAGGGCCTGGCCGTGCGCAGCTCACCTCGGCCTTCCAGCGGTTACGCCTCTTCGTCATTTCCAGCAGCTGCTGCTCCTTGGGGGGCTGGTAGGTGCTCTGTGGGACCTGCAGCGTGGTGGGAGGAAGAGTGGGGGGTCAGACAGCTGCAGGTGGGAGGGCTGTCTAGAATGCCAGGGCTGGTGGCCAGCTGGTGTGGGTGAAGGGGAAGGTGGCAGCCAGCGTGACCCCAGCCTCAGGCACCGAGGAGGTGGATATGGTGCTGGGACTGTGGCAGAAGCAGGGCCAGTGTGGGAGCTGCTGAACTCACGTCACACAAAGATGAGGGTGGCAGTGGGTTGCCCTACTGGGGGGGAGGAAAGACTGTCCAGTCTACAGTGGATGCAGGGATTTGGAACTCTGCATGGGGGCGGGGGTGGTAAGCAAAGAACAAGGAGGGAAGGCGGCCCACAAGAGGGACGGGCCCAGGGTGAGTGACTGGCAGGGGACGCTGATGAGTGGCCAAGGGCCGGGGAGGCCAAGGGAGTATCCTGGATTCTGCAAAGGGGAGGGGACCCTGGCTCAAAACCACAGAGACCAGGGCGGCCTGAGATGTGTCCACTGGGTCCAGCTCCGGGAGGCCCTCAGCAATCTTGGCAGGAGCAGTGTCTGTGGAGGGGTGGGTGGGGGCCGGCCTGGACACCTCTGAGTGCTGAAGTCCTACATCTGTTCTCGTCACGCCACACCCTGCCCACCTGCAAGTCTGACTGGCATGGCATACCCAACACACCCAAATTGGAAGCCCTCCCCCTCCATCCCCAAGCATCCCCGACCTTGACTCCTGCCCATTCCTTGCCCACACTGAGTGCCTGTCTCTTACACTCACATCCACCTGCAAATCCTGCCCACCTGCTTCCAACATCTCCAGGAAGCACCCTTCACTGCCCTTCCCCACCCCTGCAAGCCTACCTCGGTGCAAAGCTCTGTCAGTGGCCAGGTGGTAAGGCCCCTGTGCCTCTCTGCTTCTTTCGAGCCTCCTCACTCTCCTCTGGCCACTGCGGCCTCCTGGCTGATCTCAGCACCCCAGCAACCCTCTGCCCCAGGACACTTGTCCATGCTGGGTCCTGGGCCTGCCACACTCTGTCCCAGCTTTCCCACGGCTCACTTCTCGACTCGTCCAGTTCTTTGCTCCAAAGGCACATCTCAGGGAGACATCTCCTGGCCAGAGTCACGCCGCCACCAGTGCTGTGTATAGACTTCCTCTGACTATTTTTCTCTTGAACATCTATCACCAACCGACACGCCACACGTTACTTACCCTACCTATCGTCTGAGTCCGCCGTTAGAATTCATGCTCCATGAAGACAGGAACTTTTGTTCTTTTTGTTTGCAGTTGTATCCTCAGTGCCTAGAACTATGCTTGACACCTACTAAACCCAAAAAACCAAACTTACTGCCCTCAACTTGATTCTGACTCAAAGCAACGCCCACTGGGGTTCCAAGGCTATAAATCAGTATGGAAGCAGACTGCCCCATCTTTCTTCCACAGAACAGCTGGTGGATTTGAATTACAGACCTCCTGGCTAGCAGCCAAATGCCTTAAGCACTACGCCAGCAGAACTCCACTAACACCTGCCAGGCACTCCATACAGTTATTGAAGGCCCATTTGGAGCAAAGATCTATAGAGGAATCCTGATCAAAAGGCGGGGGGAGGGGGGAGGATGCAGAACAGAATGTCAAATTCTCATGGACTCCAGATGTTCTGGAGCTATGGAGGCTGGATGAACCTCCAACACTATTGCCCTGAGGTAATCTTTAAACCGGAAATCAAAAATATCTCCTGAAGTGTTCTTAAAAGCAAACAATACTTCAGCTTCACTAGTAAAAAATGTTGGCCGTGAACTCTGTGCTCTTTCAAGAATTATCTATGGGATCAAACTGACAACAGCAACCTGAAAGATCAGATAGGAACCTTCAAGGCAGTGAGTTTGTGTTGATGGGGGAGAAACAACTCAGAGAACTAGGATGAGGATGGTGCACAACCGGAACGGAATCAACGCCACTGCACTGCACACGTGCAAACTGTTGACTTGGCCCATGTCTTGCCACAACTATTCTCAACAACAAAATAAAAATTTAAAAAATATTCACTGAATGAATGAGTGAGTGGACTGCAGTGGGCCCTGAACTGAGGAGAGGGAAGGGATTCAAAGCACGAGGCAGAGGAGGGGTGGGAGAGAGTGGGAGCTTGAGATTCAAGCTCAGCCACTCTGTGGAGCCCAGGGGAAGTGCGTGTCCACAGACATCTCACAGGTGGTGCTGAGAGGTGCGCAGCCAGGGGAGAGAGTGGGACAGGGGAAGGGGCATGCTATGGGCTGCACCAAACAGAGAGGAAGAGAGATATGGTCATCATGACAACCCGAGACAAACACACTGAGCCCAGAGAAGCTGAGGTCTGAAATGCTGAAGATCCTACCAGGGACACAGAAGACCTGTACCAAGAAAACTACAGAAGATAACTTCAAGAAACCATAAGAGACGTACATGAATGGAAGAACATCCCATGCTCGTGGATGGAAATTGAACATTGTGAAAATGTCAATTCTACCCAAAGCAATCTATACATTCAATGCAATCCTAATCCAGATCCCATCAACATTTTCCCCTCCTCCCATTTATTTATTTTAATGCATTTTATTGAAATATAATTTATGTACAGTGAAATACACAAAACTAAAGTGACATGGGTCAATGCATTTTTTTTTTTTTAATTTTTGCAGGGTTCCATCCCCTCCTCCCACCCCTGGCAACCAACAAAGAAAGTTTCCCTCTATATATAAACCTTTCCTTGACCCTCCACAATAACGAACTCATACTATATTTGTCCTTCTGTGATTGACTTATTTCCCCCAGCATAATGTCCTCCAAGTTCATCCATATTATGTGGTGTTTTGCAGACTCTACATTATTCTTTAGTGCTGCATAGCATTCCATTATGTGTATGTACAATAGTTTGGTCATCCACTCTTCCGCTATAAATCTTAGAGATAAGTCCCTTGCCAGATATGTAATTATTGGCAAATGTGAATTTGTTACTATCATTTTTGTTATGTGCTTTTTCATGGTGTAGATTTCTTTGTTCCATATAATTTTCTATGCTGAGCTCGTTTTATGAATCGTGTTAACACTCCCTTCATCGCTATTGTTTTAGTATTTGCTGAATATTTATGCTGGTCCTCTTTTTTATTTTGATGTGAAGGTTTAGCATTTTTCTTTGAGGTTGTTGTTGTTGTTGTTAAGTGCCGTCGAGTCGTTTCCGACTCATAGCGACCCCATGCACAGCAGAACGAAACACTGCCCGATCC